TTTTTTTTTTGTTTTCAATATTGACTCGATTTGCAACAGTCAACACCATTTCGCTTTGAATGCATTAGGTTCAAATCTAATCCGCTACAAATCTAAGGCCTGGATCGTGAGGAATGCGGAGGGCGATTCGAAACATGATTGACATAAATTTTCTCGCTGCATTATAAAACGCAACTTTCGAATTACATAATTCCCCAACTCTCAGGACGCACGCCGAAAACTACCAAACAGGCCAAAACCGATAATAAAACCTCATTGACATACGGAAATATTTTGTTGATTTTATCAGATCGTAAAACTTGATCTTGTCAGTTTTCAGTGCTTGTAATTAATTTGCGCACTTTCTGTTCGACAAAGTGCTGGAGTAAAGTGTGAAATGAGGCAAAGCGAGATCGGACGTACCCAAGGGTACAATTTCCAGACTAGTAGTAGTAGGTTCGATTTTGCATATTAATTAGTCGGCTCAACCTTCAACATTACAGAAAAGTTTTTCCCGTCTGCAGAACCGCCTTGACACAAAGCGGCGCTTTTCCTGTGAGGAGGGAGGAAAGCCGCAAGGCCGGAGAGAGGGAAAACGAGATTTCCATCCGACTTTTCCGGACGAGCGGGCTCAAGGTGCTGACACAGTTCAGAGGCCTCGGATTGATACATTTTCACCTGAAAAATTGTAGACGGTTATCTCACTCGAAGCGGGTGTGCTTTTACCCTCGGCACTTACATAAATCCACTTAGATTACTAAATGAATCTCCTTGAACGCTTATCGAGATCATCTCTGATTTTTTTTTAAGTTACTAAAATGTTTAAGTTGGAAGTTGCCGCAATATGCTATGGGTTTGTCGGGTCCGACCCAAGGTCTCGATTCACCAAGCACCCAAAGCTCCCATCGCTGTTTGAATTAAGAATGGACTTAACCCAAATAAGTCTACCTTATAAATTAATAATCTTAGTGTGCAAAGATGCAAATGCAAACTAAAGTTTATAAGCGTAACGAAAATTCGGAATTAACGAAAAATAACATACACACATTTAAAGAACTGTGGGTTCCGAAAATGATAAAGTAACTATATACTGTATTATAATAATTATTTGGGGGCGTTGGTGGCTGCAAGGGTAATGGTGCTGGCACAACGCTCATTACTGTAAGGTGAAGGTCTCGGGTTCGAATCCAGCGGCCCTGCATGCCCAAACAAATGGGCTTAAAAAAAAACAACCCACTGGCACCCTGAGGGCTGACATTACCTCTGCTGTTGTGAACCCTCGTAATATATATTACGATTAAAAATTGTAATAAAACAAAAATCAATTTCCAAAGAAGCATTAAATCTAATAAAATAATCAGACATAAATAAACAATTATCTCATTTTCTCGTTCGAAGATATAAATTACGAAACTCAGTCGCAAAAATACAACATTGAAAATATCAGATAATTAAAGAGGTTTTTGTTAATTTCATTTCGCAATGAATATTTCTTAATTTCCTTTTTGATTTAAAACATATCTTAAGATATTTGATCGCCATGGTGAAGTGTTGGGTCTTTTTTTAATTATCATAAATTAAATTATATTTGTCCTCGTGTTTTTAATTTCTTAACAAGTACAACATAAATATATTGTAATAATGTAAATTTAACAAAACATAAAATTACAGACGAATAAAATATGTATTGGTTTTTAAAATAAGTAAGACGAAATAATCCCGAAGGTTTTATTAATAAATCAATACATATGATTATACCAATTAATCTTAATCTATTTCATCTAAACCCTTGGAAAGAAAAGTTGGATTTTAAAGCTTTTACATCGGATTCGTGATTTTTTGAAAAATGTTTTTCCCAGGGTTATAAATCAAAATAATCAAGTTATTTCAGCATAAACAAAACATTCGTGACTTGTATAAACAACTGAAGAATTCTGCTTTTAATGTTTTGAAGTCCTCCTGGTTGGAATTGGTGAGATATCTTGTTCGTTTTTTCAAGTAAACAATCGGCCTTTTTATTAAACTGATTTTACAACGATTTTACTGTTCCGAAAGAACGCTATCAGAAATTTTTGAGATAAGGATTTTTTTAAATATACTGTTTTACTTTGTTGTATTTTCTATTTAGAAAAGAATGAAAATTTGGTGAAGAGTTTTTCTTAATGAATCAGTTTTTCAATATTTCCATCTCATTGATATCATGTCATAAAGTTTTCAAAATTAATTAACATAAAGGATTACATTTGATAGGCTTTTTTTCTTTTAGATAGAAAGGCTCGCTTATATGTTATCCTATAATGTGACATTTCCGGACAGATTTGTACATCCAACACAAACAGTTCAGTATTTCCATACCGGGGTCCCCCTTCGGAAAACAAACTACCGGTTGTTCACCCTGGGTCGAAATCGATCCGTTGACGTCATTTCCCTCCTCGATCACGCAAATACCTTTTCCCCAGCGTAGGTTTCAGATTTTTATGCCGTTACTTTATGGAAATGAAAACCGATTGAAAATACATTTAAAACAAAATGAAACAACAACCGGATAGTTCTTACCGAATTGGCGAAACTCATTATCCAGGCTTAAAATGGGGTTGGAAATGATTTTTTCCCGGCTTTTATCCAGGAATTGATTGGGCCGGCACGATTCGGATCGGTTTCCTTTCTAACGTTTCAATTCCTTTCGCCGAACGTCATTTTGGTCAACTCTCTGAAATTAAAAACCGACTGAAAGATCCCCACTCCCGAATTCTTATCTCTTTTGGGTAGTGAAATGATTTCTCTTATCGTTAAGTGTTTTTTTTTAATATTTTACACATTAGTTTTGATAAAATAAACCATAACGACTATTCTGACAACAATACAAATAGAAATTTGAAATTATCATGGAATACTTTATGGGCTTTCTGCCCCAAATTAGTGAAAACGTCGTCAACAAGAAAGCATTCGTTTCAGTATTCTTTCCCTGGGACTAATGGTTATTTATGATTAAAAAGAAAACAGCGAAATTTGGAATTCCTTTGGCAGTATATAGGATTGAAGGAGTCGATCAGGGTTATCTGCAGGAGGCGCAGGAGGGAGAGGCGCCAAAACAAACCCGTCACTGGAAATAGCGAAATTCGATAAGTTGTTCTTTCATTTATCCCAGTAAATAAATCCTTTTAGAATCATTGATAATGTGAAATTTTAACAAACCGTTATTTTAGATTTTAAAAAAAGATAAATTTTGAATTTGCTTATGGCAGTATACGAGGTGGAAGGAGTGATTCAGTCAGAGATACCAGGGAGATGCACCAACCTGCCACTGTAGAATTTGTTCTCAAATTGTTATTTAATTTATCCCAGAAATTATTTCGGTCGATAGTGTGAAATTTTTATAAAGGTTTCTTCGGGCGGTATGCAGGGTAAAAGGGCACATGTCATGGTTAAAAGCAGGGTGAGGCACTAAAAGAAACCAGCCACTTGAACATGGCGAAAAGCTGAATTCCTTCTGAAAGATTAAAATTGAAAATTTTTATGGCGGTTGGTGTGTTGGATGGGTGGGGTCGTCAAGGTTTTATGAGGTTACCAACACTAACCTACCACCGAATCCTGATTGTCTAGTATTACAAATAATTATTTGAGAAAAAAATGTTCATAAATCCCAGGCCCTGAAGATAATCTCAATGAAGATAGAAACGTTGGCACGATAAAGAAAAATGTTTTTCTAAACCTATATCACACCAGACCGCATCCTTCGATCTCTAAATAATCATTAATTAACGGTCACTAAACACCCCAAATTTGAGAAAAAAGTAAATTGTAAGATTTCTTCTGCCGGCATGCGGGGTGAATGAACGCTTAAACAGGGTTATAAGCAGGTTGAGGCACCAACAACCTTTCTTAAAGACCGATGCAGTGTGAAGCTAGCCAGAATAGAATAATCACAAAGTACAAAACTAATGTTATTAATAAGTAACTAGTATTATATTAGACTTATTACATACAATACAGAACAATAACGCAGAACCATAATCATATAGTTGGTCCGCCTGTTCGCGCTGCATAGTTCAGTTGAACTGTGACAAATCCGTTAGGAATAAATCTAGTATAGCCAGATTCATCATTGACTTGTTCTTTAAACATTTCTATCTTGATTCGCTTGAAAACCGCATCCTTCGATCTCTAAATAATCATTAATTAACGGTCACTAAACACCCCAAATTTGAGAAAAAAGTTAAATTGTAAGATTTCTTCTGCCGGCATGCGGGGTGAATGAACGCTTAAACAGGGTTATAAGCAGGTTGAGGCACCAACAACCTTTCTTAAAGACCGATGCAGTGTGAAGTTAGCCAGAATAGAATAATCACAAAGTACAAAAGTAATGTTATTAATAAGTAACTAGTATTATATTAGACTTATTACATACAGTATAGAACAATAACGCAGAACCATAATCATATAGTTGGTCCGCCTGTTCGCGCTGCATAGTTCAGTTGAACTGTGACAAATCCGTCGGGAATAAATCTAGTATACCCAAATTCATCATTGACTTGTTCTTTAAACATTTCTATCTTGATTCGCTTGAAATCTGCAAGTTGTCTCAGAGAATTTTTGCGCATTCAGTAGACAGCGAGACGGATCCCCCCCTAATGAAGATAACGTAACGCCAGCTGGCAGGACAGCCAGCCGAGAGCCACTCCGTATAAATAGGAACGACAGTCCTTGGCCGCAAACATTTATCAGTTATGAAAAATTTATACGAGACCCGTGTAACAAGATGTCACGACATTGGAACAATCAGGTCAATTCCATGATTTATTCAAGGGGTTGTCAAATAAATCAAGGGAACTATCAACGTATTTTGAAGGTTTTTAAGATTTTTTATTTATTCATGAATTTTTGATTAATTGAAATTGGGGTTGAAATTTTATGATTGTTGCTTTTTGATATCTTTCTATAATTTTTCTTATATTTCCCTGTGTGAAAATTAATTTTATTTTCTTGAAATATTAAAACTCTGCCTTGTCTTTTTGTTTCAGGTATGGACTACATCGTTCACATCGTCAAAGCAATGAGTTACGGTTGGCTGCTAGGTAAGCTTTTAAAATTATGAGCTTGTCGGGTTTTTTAAAAATAAGAACATGTGGAAAAAATAGATTATGGTTCTTTTTTTTCTTTTTCAATAAATATTTTTAAAAGACAGACAACGTTTCGTCCGAATATTTCGATTTCGATACATTTTTGCGTCAGATGGTTTTCCCTGCGGCGTGCAGATTTCTCGGGTTTTAAAGAATTATTTACGCGTCTGCGATCTTCGAACTTTAATGCCAAGGTAATGCTTTTCGCCCAACGGCATGTTTACGTTCAGTAGCACCCGGTTATCAATCTGACTAGACCCACATCAAAAGGATTCGGGATGAGTGGCAGCAACAATTCTGTGGAAGTGATGAGGTAAAACTTACAAATTTTGAATTGTCCTTAACCCCCAATCTTTTTTCACTATTTTTCCACCAGAGGGGTGGAGATTTATCTCCAATGCGTGCTTATTGTAATTTTTAAAACCTTCACTTTTTCACTGTTAAAGTTATGTACATTATTGTTTAATTTTGACCCATGTTATAACATACGTTTTTGAAAAAAAAAATGGATGTTTAAGAATTTAATTTAGAACTTAAACTGACTTTCAGAAACCATATCCGGAGCGGTTTTTCTGCCTGTCTTATCTTATATCTATAGGCTAAACTTGTATAATAAATTTTGTTTTTATAATTAACAACACACACTGAATGTATTTCTCTTTTCAACCTAGATTTAAATCAGAACTCATTACCATAAACATAAAAATGCACAGGAACAAAATGAAACCTACTAGGTTTTATAATTATAATAGGTTTTTATTACGTATTTCCTTTTTCTGCTTGATATCAAAAGATAAGACGACGATATCTCAGGCAGGAGGTCAACAGTTTTCAATTAGAAAATAAATAGTTTCCAGTAGAATTTTATCGACGTTCCAGAAAAAATGGACATAGTTTTAATCTTATTCGACTGGGAGATATCGAACCGTGTCCAACCTTTGGATCAGAATAATAGGAAAAGTACGGTTCCTATCATTTCATAGGGGTTTTATCTGTTCTATTGTTTGGTTTTTCTTTCAATATCGTATGTGAACTGTCCGACGGAGTCTGTCTGTTTTGTTTGTTTCTTGAAAATCCCATTAACGTTGGGTAAAATGCCTCTATTTTATAGAGATATGGGCTTTCTGTGAGTAGAGAAAAACATTTATATTTATCATTAATGCTTGTTTGTTTGTAAGTTTTAAGAAATTTTCTATAAATTGTCAAATATGATCGAAATCTTTCAATTTCCTTTAAGGCAAAAATTAAATATATGTGTAATACTAATCTCATGGAATTGAGATCGGGGAGGTAAATGACGTGGCAGAATCTTAATTTTGCATAATTACATAATATTTTTCAATCTAGAATTGAAACCTGATTCATAGGGAATCACGACTCTGGACGTTTCTCTGAATTGAAAATTTTGAACCGGATCAACCCTGATACTTGTGCAATACGCTCCCTTCCCCTCGGCGTTTCCACAAGCTTAGAAACTCCAAAATGTCAAATTGTTACGAATCAAATTTTCGGAAACCCGGAACGAAAACCGTATGAAATCATCGAAACAATGGGTCGAATCGGCGTCCCCACCCCCAATTGTTTCCAAGCGGTAGAAAAATCTTTATTCCGCGTCCCCTGTCTTCACAAAGTCTTCCCAGTCAAAAGCTCATCGTTCAAAAGGATTTCCCCACTCCCGGATTCTTCCCACAGGAACGAGGCATCGAATTCTTTTGTCTCCCGGGCTCCGACAAATGAATAATAAACAATGGGCATGGAGGCATTGTTCATTGTTTAAACCGCGGATGGCAGCTCTCCCATTACAACTAACCTTCCAACCCTGGCAGCAGGCTGGTTTTTGACTTCATAACTTTCAATTTTATTTCCTCAAACCACTTAAAAACAAACCTTATTTCCACAAAGAATCAAAGAATTAATTCACCCGGACCATCCCTAAAAAAACTTGAACTTGTCTTGAAAGACTTCCTTTGTTAATAAAAGACATAATTTTGATACAAAATTTAAATGCTTGACTTGGTTCAAACAAGATCGCAACCTTTCTCCCCTAATATTTCAAACTCAAACCTAGTACCTTGGGAAATTTACTTCTTCTTAGTCACGTCCCCAGCTCTGAAAAAAAGACAACGCTCTGAAGATGGCGAGAAGACAACCTAACAGACCAAAAGAGCGAAGATAGGCAGACATAAATATTCCAAAATGACTGCACTTCAAATCTAGTTCAAGCAGAATATACTACAGTTATGTTCAAAATTTTTTTAGCTATTTAAATTTCGAGTGGCTTTTATTGAAAAAAGTTAGCTGTCGTTAAGCTTTCAGTATTAAATTAAATCATATTGTACCATTTACAGGTCAGCGTTTATTATCATCCCCGAGGCCTGTTTTTCATAAATTATCCTAAGCGAAATCTACAAACTATTTACTGATTTTTAGTACGGTTTTTATCACCGATAGCGAATATTGCCTAATTTGTATTGATTTTTATCATCCCATACGGTCGTCTGATCTTTCAGATAATGGTAGACGTCGCTTTTTAAAATATTGTAAGAATGTGCAATACTTAAAACCATTTGAAACGCTTGAAAACGATGTGTTGTGTAGTTTTTGGAGAAAGTGTTCAAACGTCGTGGCGTGAAAACGGTCAATTATGCAACTTGCTTTCTTTTACATGATGAAGTGTATGCCATTGTGGTTTAGGTTCCTGGGCCAGAAAATTTTGAAAATTTCGGTTTACCTTGTTTTGCCAAAAATATCCTTATCGGATTTTGAAAAGTTTTAGAAAGGCTTTTTCCTCCGTCTCCCCATTCTGTCCGGGAAAAAGGAGGTAATTTTCTGTGAACGTTCCCGAGTATTGTTCTCCGGGTCACATTGTTCGTTGCCGAGTTTCCGACCAGTGTATGACGTTGCGCAACGCCCCGGCTTCCCCGTGAGTTGCTCAGGGTAAGGAAAGCCTGATTTGGTCCGACCTGAGAAAAAGAACGGCCTTAAAAGAAAAAGGAAAAAGGCCTTGTTCTCAGAGATGTCAAAAACAGCTATGGGCCCTGCTGATTAACATCGCGAGATATGCTTCGTTGGCCTCCCCTGATCCTGACGATGGTAAATTCGGAAATTCCGAGATTTTACCGTTTGTCTCATGAGAACTGTCAAAAAGGCATTTAGCCTTTTCCCAGTAATGTTGCCTTATAAGTATTTTATAGTTACATATCCGATACAAAATCACACTGACTCGCTAACTCATAGGCTAACTATTTATATATTTAATCGCACTGACTCAAGTCACTATCCCACTCACTTAATTCGATAACTCACTGACTCACTAACCAGCTCGCGCCATTACGTATTTACTTATTACGTTTTTCCGTTGCTCCCTAACACCAACTTTCTTTACTCCAATCCAACTTACGAAATCCTCATTCCCTAATATATTACACCCTAATTCAATCAATTGTTCACTTTTTCTGTTACTCCATAATGTAAAAAAAATCACTCCCTGACTGCCTCTATCGCTCCCCAATTCACTGACTCACTCGTTCTGATAGACCCTAGTTCACGAAATAATTTCCTCCATCACTTCTTCTATTACTCTCTAATACAATCACACTCTCACTTCTGTTCCTCTCTAACTCACGAAATCACTCACTCCCAAATATCTTCTCTTATTCCTTAATCACCCACACCCTTATTCTGTTACTCCCTAATTCACTTACGCAGTCACTACTTATAATTCTCCCTAACTCTCGAAATCACTCACTAACTTCCTCTGTTATCCCATAATTTAATACACACTCCCCAGCTCATGATGCACTTCTTAACTTCATGTGATACTTCACAATCCACGTAGTTCGCTTTTTTCACTCCCTAATTTAATCATTAACATACTTTCTAACTCACTCAACACTGACTCACGAAATCATCACTCTCCAACTTCCTCTGTCGTTCCCTAACTCACGAAATCATTCACTCCCTAACTTACGACATCACTCTCTCCCTAACTTCCTTCGTTACTCCTTAATTTAATTTCCCACTTACTCCCTAACTCATTCAACATAACTCACAAAATCACTCACTCCCTAATTTACTCTGTTAGTTCCTAATTCATCCTAACTTACGAAATCACTCTCTCCTTGATATCCTTCGTTACTCCTTAATTTAATTTCTCACTTACTCCCTAACTCATTCAGCCAACATTAAAACCCTAACAAAGGAATCACTCCCTTCCTTACTCCCTATTCAATTACTCACTCATTCACTCACTTCTTCTGTTACTCCCTAACTTATGAAATCACCCATTGCCTAATTTTTTCCGGTATTCCTTCTCCCAGACTCACGCCCTAACTCAATCACCACCCATTCCGGAAATCACTCACTTCTTTTACTCCCTAGATCAAAAAACCACTCACTCCCAGCCTTCTTGTTTCTTTCCCAAATTTACTTACTATCTCACGAAATCCCTTCTGACTCATTGTCGTACTCACTACTAATTTACGTTCTTACTCCAAGATTCACAGATTATTCAATTCACAAAATTTCTCTTTCACCAATAATTCACTTTTTGACTCACTCATGTACTTACTGTAAATTCCTTGGTTTCTCCATAACTCCCTCAACCTCTAATGATATTTCATGAACATTTGCTGTGTGTTGTATATCAGTAAAAATGTACTCTTAATATTAAACCTTTTTTTTACTTTTCCTACTAATAGATATTTTCCGATAATTTAGTTTATATCAGTCATTCTATCTTTACTTCATTTCTTTCTTTTAATATATCTTTTTTATTAGGCAGTTGATATAGTTGGGTTTTATCATCTTTTCTTAATGTATGTATGGTAACCGTGGAGATTGTCGAGGTTTTTTCGTTGTTTCTAAAACATTTAGGATCGCCTTTTTTCTTTAGCGGCGCACCCGGGCGATATCTTATCACCGATCCTGCCTCTTTTTCTGTGTGCACTTCTCAG